AAGTTTCAAAAGATGCAACCTTATAATGTAGAACTACGGTTGCACCTCAAAAATCCATCGAAAAAGGTAGTTTCAATATTAAAAAACTCTTTGATTGATCATCTCGACATCGAGAGGTATGACCAAATAACAAGAGTTTAAGTCTAAAAAATAGTGCATTTTACAGCATATTATCAATACCGTCCATATTCAAGATTTTCATATGTTTATAGATTTACTTAATTTTAACTATTTTTAAATAGATTTTGAGATAATCCTAAGAACATTTTACATCAAAATTATATACCATGATAAAATTTGAAGGTACACCTTATCTCTACAGCTACGGATGCATCCATATGCCAACTGCACCCTGATTTTATTATTGACCATTTGAAAGGAAAAAGTTTCCGAATTTGATAAATTAACCAATTATTGATTCTTTCTATTATTGCACAATCCATGCCCAGAGTTTTTGCCTCAGATTAAGGATATATCCAGTTCAGCAGCTTCCTGCTCCAATGGTGTCAATCCTTGTATGGTTATTTTGTGTCTGCACCTTGCTCAAAGGGTGTCTATTAATTAGTATTTGATAAGTATATGGTCATCAAATTGTATTGAGGAAAAATTTGGACCTGAAACTTGTCCTTTAGGAGTCTACTATTTTCCTTTACATAGTTGTACACTTAACTAGTTTGATGCGTGGTTCCATCAGAATGAAAATAGGAATCTGGTGGCTATGCTTTGGATTGTGTTAAAACTTGAACTTTTTTCTTGGGATGATCTTTGTCAAGTGGTGGTCAGGAAATTTTTGTTATTGCATTAAGGTCCCAAGATTGAGTCTCTTAACTTATTGCATTCCAAGTCTGAAATCTTGGTTTTCCTTCAAAAGTATAAACAAGGATTTCCCTGAAAATGTGTCCTCTCCTTCTTAGTTGTTCTGCCCTTTGCTTCTTATCAGAATAACTGGTACGTGCTTGTCTGCATATGATTGGCTAGGTTTTTGCAGGAGTATACTTTTTGTGGATATTGTGTCATAATAATCTTAGATGGTGTGGCTGGATCCTTCAAGCGTCCTAGTGTTTGGAGGCATGGAGTTCTTCTCTAAGAGAATATTAACATTTCTATTACATGTATGCATAATTGTCAAAAAATGGCATCCCACAAGTTGGAAGCTCTATACGTTAGAGTGAAAGAGAGAACCAAAAAATGAGGGGTGAAATACCCCATATTAACAGAGAGGCTTAATCCAAAAAATACATTCATGAACTGAAAAGGAAAAACTGGGATTGTCACTTTTAAAATCTGTCGTGGCAGTCCTATCTATGTTCCTTGAGGCTGTGCCTTCTTTAGCAAGCACATCAGTTGTAGGTTTAGCTAAAAGGAGATATGAATAAGCCTGCATAGATTGAAAATATGATCAAACAAGTGCTTGAGTCACCAAAAATGGGAAGTATTTAGTGGTCTAGATTACATTCTTTGGAATCACCATCAACCATGAGAGAGGTGCCCCAAGTTGGGTCGAATTGCTTAATGCCTTCTATGACAGCTATATTTCTTCAAGACTGGAGTATGCGGACCCAATGGAGCCTAAAAATGAAAGTAGGATATCCTTGGTGGTCTATGTTGAGTTTGATGATTCCTTCTTCCGGTGGTCTCAATAGGGAGGAACAAGAGATGGCCGGCGGTCTGTCTATAGAATAAAAGATGAAATAGGGTGTTTACTAAAGTTCTTGTTTTTTGGCCCAAAAAGTGATCACGGCTGTAATGCACTCTTTTAGTGAGGGGGCTCTTCGGCCATTGGTTTTCAGGTTCAATTTCCTATCTACATGAACTCGACCAATCAGATCATGGGCCCAGTGTTTCAAAAAGAGCTAGGAAAGCGCCCAAAACTTGGGCGGCCCAGTAGAAATTTTTTTCTTTTTGGGGTTTTCTCTCGCTAAAATAGCATCTAATGGGTTTTAAGTTTCAAATGAACGTAAAACCCACAATTTACCTTTTTAGTATTAAAAAAATGACCCAAAATACCCACAAGGAGCTGCATTTCCGCCCCTGGGCAGGGCGCAGGCCTTGGGCGGGTGCCTAGGCGGGTCGGTCAGGTGGGCGCCCAGGGATATCCACGTAATTTGGCTGGCTAGGCTTGGGTGATGCGCCCAAGCCTTTTGGACCACCTAGGCGGCCACCTAGGCACTGGGCGGTCTGCTTTTTAAAACACTGCATGGGCCTTTTAGTTAGTTTTGTATTGGGTCCAACTTCCAACACACGCACATTCCTGCATGCATGCATGTATTATATATGTATGTATGTATATGTATTATGTATGTATGCCTGGCTGTCTTTGTTTGTTTGTGTGTGTGGGTGTGCGTGTGTGAAATCTCAAAATGAGAGCACAAGTGCAACAACCCAAAGAAAGGGAAAAGGAAATGTTGTTGGTTTGTTGGATCCGTTCTTATGATTTGTATTATCGTGATTTCAGTGGTTCTGCTCAGATCCATTGTTCTTCTTCTTCTTCTTATTCTTTTTTTTTTGGAATGTTAACTTGCAACTAGTGGGAAGTGAACTCTAGATGTCACATTGTGGCATCTGCCACCCTGCTCATATCCATGATTCTAGTGCTTAGCTTCCATCAATATTATCTGGAAGGTTGTAAAAACCATTTCTTAATGAAAGATGCTTTTCTGATTTAGTCTCCGTAATTTTACTTATTTGGATGGGATTTTCTATTTTCCAGAGTCAAGATAAAGCAACACCTAATTTGAGTCAATCACCATCAGAACCAGTGAAAGTCACCCTACATGATTGCTTGGCTTGCAGGTATCAGATTCTTTCTCTCTGTTTCTTGTCTCGTTCTCTCTTTTCTGTAGAAAGGTTTTACACTGGTTGTTTACGTAGCAACAAAGCATTTGGTTCCGCCCCCCCCACCCCCCCCTTCCCCTCCCCCTCCCCCTCCCCCTCCCTGTTTTTGACACAGGTCTCAATATGTTCCACTAAATGTCAAGGGGTGAAGCTAGCACATTGCAGAAATTATTTGTAAAGGGTATTATTATCACATCATAGAAATGATTTGTAAAGTGTACTGTTATTCATCTCTCATCATGGTAATATTATATTTGAGAATGTTGGGAAGTGATAAGTCCTTTTCCCTTACACATCTCAATTGCTCTATCAGTGACACCAAAACTCTCTCTCTCTTTCTCTCTCTCTCTCTCTCTCCCCCCCCCTTCTCTTTTATTTTTCATCATACGCCTTACTATTTTGTTCCTGTCATGATATGCAGATTTTATCTAATTGAAGTCTTACAAAATTGTATAAAAAAATCAAGGTTATGTTAAGTGTGGGTTCTAAAACTTCACATGCAACTCGAAGATCGATCTGCCATGAACTGGGTCATATACAAAGAATAAAAATAATTTGGATTAAGTTGTCAGGATGATCCTAAGGGCGTTTATGCATCATCTACAGGTGCTTGTATCACCATCCTTTGCATCTAAACTCGAGTGTAGATGTCAAAAATATGAATTTTTCTACTAGAACTATTTCGATGGTTCCAAGTAATAATCTGAATGAATCGATTTGGTGTTTTCTGCTAAGTCAACGTTGTAGAATATTGATCATGACGTATAAGATAACATATCTATTAAAAAAAAGAAGAACATAAACGCAAAATCTTCAGATCTAGCTACCTGTGCCAATGTCCTAGAGAATACTGTAATATTGTTTTATAGTGGTTGGAAAGGATCTCAGTTGAGAACTGGAGCACATTTGCCTAGTGAGCTCACAAACCTAGGCATACAGTGTGATGGAGGTATCTAGAGCCAGGAGTAGTCGGACTTATTTTCTATAGTAGCTCAACCACTACCCCACCCTGCTTGGAAATAGTGGACTCCTTAGGGTTCATGATGGCTCATTACTATAACCGGCTTTGGCCCCTCGAAATTTTTGACTCTTCTAATTCGGAGGTTGATGCCCTGGCATAGTTAGCAACAAACGACAACCCCCCCAAAAGACTCCATTTTTCAGAAGTATTTTAAAAGATGATTATTTTCAAAGTAACTTGCTTCTTTGAAGGAAAAGAAATACAGCCGTATTATACCATTATTCAAATGATGTTCTTAAAGAACTTCCTTAAAAACATTTTGATTGGTAAAATTTCTTGAGAATTAGCTCCAATTTATTTTCCGTTACTTGTCTCGCTTTTGGCTTTTGGACCAATCCCCATTCAACTCTCTCTTTACCTCCAAAGTATTCTCTATTACTTGTCTCTCTTTTGGCTATTGGACCAATTCCCATCTCTCTCTCTCTCTCTCTCTCTCTCTCTCTCTCTCTCTCTCTCTCTCTCTCTCTCTCTCTCTCTCTCTCTCTCTCTCTCTCTCTCTCTCTCTCTCTCTCTCTCTCTCTCTCTCTCTCTCTCTCTCTCTCTCTAACACTTTACTCTGTCTTGCAGCTTATCCTCTCTCTCTCTCTCTCAACACTTTACTCTGTCTTTCACCTTATCTTCTCTCTCTCTCTCTCTCTCTCCTCTCTCTCAACACTTTACTCTGTCTTGCAGCTTATCTTCTCTCTCTCTCTCTCTCTATCAACACTTTACTCTGTCTTGCACCTTATCTTCCAAAGCCCTATTATGAAATTCAGTCTGCCATTTCAACCCTCTGCAAAGAAATTTTTGTTGTTTTATTATTAATTAATGTTTTACTAACCCTACCCAAAGAAATTCACTTAAAAACATGGACGTTGGAGTTTTTTAGTTAATTCTGACGTATGTGCTTTTGTCTTGAAGTTTTTCTAGCTCTCCATAATTAGTGGGCTATTTACTACATTTTCGGGATCAAAACTGAACTAATGCTGACTCTGTTGCCAAGAGATCTGACTCTCTTGCAGTTTAGCAATTAGCTAACTTAGAGCCTGAGCACTCCTTAATGGCAACAAGATTTATTCACAACTGACTCACTTTATTGAGGCACATCCCTTGATGTGACTTGCAAAAGCTGTCTTTCCAGTTTCTGAAGCTAGAAGAAATAAAGCAAAAAGACAAAATAGAAACTACCATGTAATTATTTGGGTGTGACATGTGATGCCTATCAAGTAGTGATTTGCGTTCATCCTTCCTGGAAAATTTAAAGTATCCAATAGGTTTTCCCGATCACCCACTATATCCTAATCTCATGTATTTTGAAAGACAATTGACCTGGCTGACTTGTTGGCTAGAATTGGGTGACTTTACTGTCTTATGGTTGGCGACCCTTCTCTCTGGCCCAATTGTATTGTGACAGAATTGTATCATTCCCATATATATGATGTACTTTAAGTTTGCATGATATATGATTCTTAGTTTCCATTTAAACGAAGCATGTTTAAGCAATTATGGGTATGACTTTGAAAGTTGATTTACGTGTGCATTTAAAATTGGTTAGAAATTATGGAGTCTTTTCCTAGTCCCAGTAGAAGCTTTCCTTTAACAAGTAGTTTTCTCTAGCCAAATAGAGTTTAGTACTTGTTCAACTTTCCTAACCTCCTTCAATTTGGATGTTTGCAACAAATCTGGTTCACTGTTCTGACTTAACACCAAAAAAAATAAAAAATCCAGCTCAATGTCCTGTCTATCCATGAGAAAATTAGACTCATTTGTCAGTTTTATGTCCGTGAAAAGTACATATCTTCAATTTGCGATTTTACTCATCTTATTATAAATAGTAAAGGGACTGTTACAGTTTGCAAGGAAATGTGATGGTAAAACATTAGTTGTTATAACAAATATGCAAATAATTAAGTATGTGGTATTGCTAGCTTTATGATAGTTGATGGGTTGCATATGCGAGCATTATGCAACACAGACTTTTTTATTTTATCAATAACAATAAAGGCTTTTGCCCTGTTAATGGTTTGTCAAGTTCTATTTAGCTTGGCATATTTCTCTCTCCTTCCCTGTGTAAGACGATATATTAATTGTTAAATTTCTTTTCTAATGACTAGCAGTAGAAACATTTAATTTCTTTTGATCCTGCAGTGGTTGCTTAACATCTGCAGAGACTGTCATGCTTGAGCAACAAAGTGTGGATGAGTTTCTTTCTCAGGTCAAAGTGAATAAAGAAGCTGTTATAGTTTCCCTTTCTCCCCAGTCAAGAGCATCTTTAGCGGCTCATTTTGACATCTCTCCGCTACAGGTATCAAAAAGATTGTCATTCGTCGCCTTTTGTTCTTTGCAATTTCTGTTAATCTGGTTCAATCCATAATTGAGTGTGACGTCTATTTTATTAGTACATGGGAGATTTGAATCCTTGATTGTTGATTTGCTCTACTGGCGTGGTGGCGCTAACAACTAATATTTTCTATCGCACGATATTATTATGTGCCTTCAATGTTGCTTTGTTAAAACTGATATGATGCAGTATAAAGTAAGCAAAAACAAATGTATAAACTAATAGATAAATTCAAAAACTGGATTTTTCATTAAGAAATAATTTCTATGAAAATGTATTAATTTTTCCTCACTTCAGTGCTTATATATCCCGATATCAACTCATTGATATTCCTCTCGAAGGGGCCCAGTTTATGTGGTCCAACCATTCCATAACCCATCCATCTCTAAAATTGATCGCTTTCTCATTCTTTGGAATGGGACCACCTTTTCCCGGGCACCCATTCTGCTGCCTTGCCCAAACCATCAGATGAATGCCCGGTCCTTCTTGACACCCTGGCCATCGCTAAAGTCCCCAAGCCTTTCCGTTTCGAGGTATCCGGGCTTGAAGAACCTAATTTCACCAATTTGGTGCACTCTTGGTGGGGGTCTTACTCGTCCATGGTCCATGGTTGGGCTGGTTTCCGACTTCAACGGTAGTTGCAGCTCCTGAAATCCTCTTTGAAGACCTGGAGCTCCGAAATCCCGGACAATCTTTGTTCCCAGGAGGAAGCCCTAATCCAATCCATTCAACATTGGGATAATATTGAGGAGTCTAGAACCCTACTTCTTGCTGAACTGGACCTCTGCTCCCAAGAAAAATTTGAGTACAGCCTTTCCCTATGCAAGGTGGAAATCTATTGGTCCAAAGGGCTAAAGTAAAATGGCTAAAACTAGGAGACCTCAATACAGGGTACTTCCACAAGATTGCAAATTCCCGAAAGTGAGAAAACTCCATTACCCATCTCATGGTGGTTAACATCATTCTCAAGCATCCTTCGCTCATGAACAAGCAGCTGTCCAATTCTTTTCCTGCCTCTTCTCCCTGACAGGAGTGAAACCCACGATGGATGACCTTTCTTTTTTCACCCTTCCTTCTGAAAATCTAGCCCCTTCCTCGAAGATGAGATCCTCAGAGCCATCAATGAACTGAGCCCTGATCGAGCGCCAGGTCCAGATGGCTACCCTATCGCTCTGTTTAAGAACTTTTGGGACACTCTCCATCCTGATATTCTCGATTTTTTTCTCCGAGTTTAACTCCAGCAGGCTTGTCAACAGAGTCATGAACACCAATTTCATTCATCTGATTCCGAAGATTGAAGGGATAGAGGAACTTAGACACTTTAGTCCCATCAGCCCAGTTAATAGCTCCTACAAAATGCTTTCCATCTCCGTTACTTAGGGGACCTTTGTCAAAGACCATCAGATTTTAGATGGGGAGCTCATAGCCGTGAGTGTATCCATACTAGACACACCTCCAAGATCCCTGGCCTAGTCATAAAACTAGATTGGGACAAAGCATACGACCAAGTTGAATGGTCGCTTCTTGATGAGATTCTCAGCAGGATGGCTTTTGGGTCCAAATGGAGGAAATGGATGCAAGGGTGCATCTCAAATCCTTTCTTCTTTGTGTTGATAAATGGATCCCCCAAAGGATTCTTCTCGGCCACCAGAGGGCTTGGCCAAGGCGGCTCTTTGTTGCCATTCCTCTTTGCTATCATGGCTGAAATCTTCAGCTCCTCCATCTCTAGGCTGTACCAAGCTGGACTTCTGAGTGGCTTCCAATCTAGTAACGAAGGTCCCAACATATCCCACCTTCCAGTATGCAGATTGCACACTCGTCTTTTGCAATTCATCAATTCAACAGGTCGATACTGTCTTACTTTCCTTAAGTGTTTCAAAATGGCCACTGGTTTCAAGGTTAACTTGGCCAAATCCAAGATGATTGGGGTTTGCACAAATCCTCTTTTAGTGCAGTCCTTAGCTCACAGATGGGGCTGCTAAGTTGATGAACTACCATTGACCTACCTAGGCCTTCCTATGTGCCTTGGCATGCTCCACCTCTCTCACTAGAGTCACATTATAGATAAATTTGATAGGAGATTGGCAGGTTGGAAAGGTAGATTCCTATCCAAGGCGGGCAGGCTCACTCCAATCAAGGCCACCCTTGCTAATACCCTTGTATACCAAATGTCGTTTTTTCACCTCCCCGCCTTGGTGGTGGCCAGGCTGGAGAGGATGATGTGAAAGTTTTTCTGGTCGGGGGACAACAGATGAAAGGACCACCTTATATCGTGGCCTAAGCTTTGCTTGCCGAAAGATCAAGGCAGCTTAGGCATTCGCAACCTCAGAGCTCATAACATTGCCCTCTTTGGCAAATGGTGATGGAGGTTTGCCACCCAACAACTTTGGAGGGAAGTCATTCGTCACAAATACTGTTACGGTGTTGATAATTGGCCCCCTGAATGCGGAGTCAGCAGCAACATCTCAGGTTTTTGGAGGTCAGTGCTTCACTGCCGCAACCTCTTCCTTTTAACACATTTGCTTCCGTTTGAAGGAAGGAAATAAAGTGAAGTTCTGGTCAGACACTCGGATGGGTCACACCCCGCTTCGGGATCCGTTTCCTAACTTATTTCTCCCTGCTTGTGACGCTCAATCTTCAGTGGCCCGAGAACTTCGGTACCTCAGGGTCTATTAGGACCTGGACACCTGACTTCAGAAGGCTCTTAGCTGATCACGAAATAGAGGAGTAGCTCTGGTCAAACTTTTGCCTTTGGTTTCCCTCCGTCCTAGTGGGGAAGACAAGATTATCTAGGCACTGGCAGCCTCCGGAATTTTGTGTCCTCCTTTTTTCGAACCTTTTCTTACCCACCCGACCTTACTTCCCCCCTTGTCCTTGCATCCAAGGCCTGGTTCCCTTTCATATTATTGAGGATACAAGCTTTCTGCTGGATTGCTCTTTATGAGAGAGTCTTGACTATCAACCACATCCAAAGAAGGGGCCTTCCTTGTCGTAATAGGAGTGTCATGTGCATGGGGGCCGAAGAAACCAACAAACTTCTGTTTATCCATTGCGAAGTGGCCAGATCCTTATGAGTGACCTGCTTCGACTAGTTCAGTGGTTTTGGGTGACCCCACGATCGATCTCCCACCTGTGTAAGGCCTTCTCTCACTCCCTGGCCCAAGGCATGTCGACTCCTTTGGAGAGAGCCTCAGTGGCCGCAATAATTTGGGTAATTTGGACTGAAAGAAACAAGAGAACTTTTAGAGACACGAGAACACTGTCGCCACCATGATAGATAAGGTTAGAAGTTTGGTCTCCTTTTGAGCCAAAAACCACAAGTTCTTTTAAGGATTTCTCCTACTCCAACCTTCACAACAATTGGCAAACTATGTTGGTCTTGAGTACCTCAAGGATCTCAGGATCATCTCTTTGGAGACTGCCGGATGTAGGCTACACCAAGTTGAACTTTTAACGGTTACTCTCTTGGCAACCCTGGTCCCTTTGGCATAGGGGGCCTCTTCAGAACCAACGAAGCAGCACGTTGTTATCTTTTTCTCGACCAATAGGCATAGCTGACTCAACTCTTGTTGAGGCCCTTGTCCTTTTGTAGGGCCTTCGCAAGGTTAACCTCACTTGGAATCTAGAGCTAGTAGTCAAAGGGGATTCTAGGAATGTGAGGCCTCCAATCCCACTTCCTGCCCATAGAGACTCGACCAAAGTTTCAACGAGGTATCGCATATTTGCAGGAATTTAAGAGTTTCATGGAACCACATCTATAGGGAAGCCAATTCTGCAGCCGACGCTTTGGATAGGGAGGGAGGCCATTCCAATCCTATCAAGGGGACTAGGCGATTTTGTGCTCTCCACTGTCACATTCATTCACTGCTGTATCTTTTCTTTAATTGCTGTAAAGCATTTTTTGGCCCCTTCGGGGTTCTTGTATAGGGTGTCCTCTCTTATGGGTTGCCTGATTTTTTGTAAACCTTTTCTTAAATAATACAAGTGACCATTCTAAAGAAAAATGGATATATATATCAGTGAAACAACTGCTTGGAGCAAGTTCTTGTCATTTTTTGGATCTTCTGCAACTTTAACAGAATCACATATAGTAATATCATGATCCCAACTTGATTTGTAAAATATTTTATAGGAATTTGTTGAAAATCTTATATGCCATATGCTTGAAGCTAGCGGTAGAATATGTGAAATTACCTGTGACTCTTGTTCATTTCTGATATGATGCATTCTTCCTTTATAACTTGACTATTCTTTTCAAATGGAAATCCTTCTATGGGTCTGGAAATGTTGAAGAAATATTGGTGAAAGATTTTACTTTCTCCAGTTAAATATTGCATCATGATGCTTGCCGGAGGATTTTGTTAAATCCAGAGTAATATTAAAGTGGACTACAAGTAAGATGGTTATAGTTATTCCTTCAGTACATGGTTATGTTTTTCCTGTAATTTTTTAATTGAACTTGAAAATTTATCATAACAACTTGGAGATGGATATGCTACTTTTTTTTTCATTCCTTTACTGGACATGGTTTTACTGGCCTGAAGTTCAAAATTGAACTTGCTTTGGTGCTAGTTATTTATTCATAAGACTTCATGAACCTCTTTTTAATAAGACTCGAATGGGTTATGCTGTTGAACTAACAATTTCTTCCTTTTTTCAGGTTTTCAGGAAACTCACTCAGTTCTTCAAGTCTTTGGGAGTGAAGGCTGTGTTTGATACAAATTGCAGTAGGGATTTAGCTCTTATTGAAGCATGCGATGAATTTATTACAAGATACAATCAGCACCTTGCAACTTATGCCCAAGAATGTGTGCCCACACTTCCCATGCTTTCATCGGCTTGCCCAGGTATTATGCACTACAAACTTTTTCTGATTTCTTACTGAGTTATAAATGTACCATCTCAGTGCAATATGTTAATTATTATGGATTCGATAAATCACCAACTTCATTCTTGCCTGTTTACTTTTTGGTATATTCTCCGTTGGAAGGTAATGTAAATAATGAGAAAGGGGGGACATCTGGACACTACCAGGAACACCTGCATAGATTGTCCAGAAATTGGAGACATTGGGACGAGTTCTGGACCCATTAATGATTTTAAATAACTATTTTAACAATGGTGAAGCTAGGTTATTTTACTGTTCTGATATTTCAAGATTTAAATGACTTTCTTAGTCCAGGTCATGTGTGATGAAATAGTCATTTAAAATAGTGACTGGTCCAGGTACTGTCCAATATTTCAAGTTTCTGGACCACTCTTTGATTTGTACAGGTGTTGCAGGTACTATCCTGACATTTTTCCAATAAAGAAAAGACAATGTGATCAAAGTTTCTTGCAGCTAATTCCTAATGTAATCAGGAGAGCACTAGTCGAGACAAAGCCAATATGAATGATCAGGCTTTAGAGTATTCATTTTCTAATGTGAACTTTTCTATTTAACCAATATTGTTTCATGCAATATGCATGATTAGTGGCTCAAATGTTATATCAAGAAATGGTGACAGCTCTGAGATTTATTTATTTTTTAAAATATTTCAGGTTGGATATGCTATGCGGAAAAGACTCTTGGATCTTATATTTTGCCTTATATTAGTACTGTGAGAAGTCCCCAGCAGTCTATTGGATCTATCATCAAACATCATATTTGCTGGAAATTGGGGCTCACGTAAGTATTATATCTCAAATAATGTGGCTATCTGATCTCTTACTAGAATGGAATATCAAGTTAATTTGCATATTTTTGAAATGAAACATTCATTCCTTTTTGCATGAGTAGCAACAAAAGGACCTTAACCAGGGAAACTACATTATTTATTGCTTTGTTTTTAAGCAATTATCATTTATCTAGACATTACTAATACTTGCTCCGCTATTCTGCCCTAGCCTGGCTGAGGAAGAGTTACAGGAAGTAAAACACAAATATGCTGATTCGGACGAGGAATAGTATATGCAATAATTAACAATAAAATCAGAAATTTAAATTTCTAATTTCTAGAAATTAGAAATATAAAACAAAAGACCCACACCCAAGTTCCATAGCTTTGCGTCTGCTATCCCGATCATTATTTTATTTTCCTACCCCAGAGGTGAAGGAAGGGGCCTTCCTTTTTGAGGCCGTTGTGGGCGAGGAGGGATTTGAACCCCCAATTGTAATTAATAAGAATAATCTCCTTGCTTACCTTATCCCTTTTTTGTTCATTTGTAGGAACCCAAAAAAGGGCGTTCTAGTGCATTATAGATTCTTCCTCCAATTCCTTCTCATTGAGCGTCTCTTATGGGATATAGGATCTGTTGTGTCCCTTTCGGGGTTTGAGGATGCCGCCACTCGGCCTGCCCATAAATGAGCTCTCCCTCATTCTTTAAGTGTCTTGGCGGGTAGATAGTTTCATTGGAATCTTGAATCAGTTCCCAAATGGGTTAGCAAAGCCTTTGAATTAGTTATAGAGGACAGAAAAATGGGTTACGATGTTATGATGGGATTGCGTTCCACCTCAAGCTTGGTTCACTGCCTAATCCAGAGAAAGGATATATTTATTTGGTTTTCTGAACTTTCGGGTGCCTTTTCATTCTTATTATTATTCTGTTCTTTTTTAATGTTGGTATAGAGCAATTTTGGGTTATTTGTTTGGCTAGTCTCTGTTTTCCCTGCAATCTCTACTTTGTGTGATTTATTCCTACTAGATGTTTACATTCAGATTACTTGCATTTTTAGGTATCTAACTCCCAGAAATTTTTCATATTTTACTGTGTGGGGAAGGAACCTTTGAATGTGTATTGGTACAATGTGATTTTTGAAGGGTCTATGTTAGCCAATAACTCTCCTAGATAATGATTCAGAAGTCTGATATATCTGACTCTTAATAAGAATCGGTTGACTCTTTTGATAAAACAACAGTTATAGGGCAGTTAATTCTTCAGGAGTGGACTGTTTGTCTAAAATTTATATATTCTGCATGCGACTACTTTGTTAGCTGTTTGTTACAATGTTGTCAAGCCCGGACCATTGGCTGAACCAGTGAGGGCACCTTTATGGTCAGATCTGTCAAACTGGACTGGTTCACTTGTTAGACCCCTCAAATAAATAAAAAATAAAAGAAAACATGGAAAATACAGAAAATTTGAAAAAGAAAAGTGAAAATGTTGGAAAAAAGAAAAATCTAAAAAATATAAAATTTCATAATTGTTGGGAACAAATTAATATCATAACACGACATATGACATTGTCATGATGCACTCTGATAACTCATCAAGTGATATCAGTGACAATGAAATTGAAATATTGAAGGCAAGACAAGAAGTATATTTAGCAAAAAAAGAAGAAGTAAAAAACCAATCCACAACTCCACAAGTCCGCATACATTAGGCCACAGATTTGCAACTAGTTAACCTAGTTTGTTACATTCAGAATATTACAAGACTGATCACTTGCACATAAATGCTAAAGAAAACAGATGTGATCCATAATCATCATCTTTAATGTCATATCCTCCTTCCTCATTATCTCAACCTTCCTCATTGTTAAATCTCTCTCTACTGACCTTTAAATCATTGAATTTCATATGTAACTGAAAATCAAAAACTGAAAAATCAAACATATTTATATCCCGAACTATGCGCAAAATCTACAAATTAAGAAAATATCTACATCAATTTGACTATTAAATGCAAAAGACTTTCAGAATGAATGCAAGAAACAACTCAGCAATTATTTGGGAAAAAATAATTATTTGTAAGAGTCTAAAAATCCAAATATTTTCAATTTTCTAATTTTAAATCTAAATAAACCAAAGAATAAATCAGGGAGGTTTGAGAACTTCTATTTGAGTGGCTCGAACCAGCTCAGAAAGTCGGCAGCCATCACAACAAAGCTAGGTTATTTTGGGTTAGAGAGAGATGGAAAATGCCAAAGATTCAATCACTCTCTAGAAAAGGTTCTTCTTTTACCGTAAAAATTCATCACAATGTTATAAATACCAAACTGCCCCAAAACAAACTCATAGGACAAAAACCCTGTCAAATTTGTTAAAAATATTAAAAAATGAAAAAGGGATGATATCTATCATTTTAGGTCCATTGAGACAAGCCAGTTTGGTGCTGGATCAGTGGACCAGCCCATCCACCACTCCATTGGTATGGTGGACCATCCAGTCTAGGGGGTTTGACCTGAATGAGGGGCCATCAGTTCTCCAGTTTCCAGTTTGAATTGGTTGTTCCAGTTCAGTCTTAACATCATTGGTTTGGTAGGTGCCCTATATGTTGCATAGTATTATTTGGTTCATTGTTTGGTGCCCTGACCCCAATTTCTCCATACTTAAAATTGGCCATGACCTTAACCTCCAAAGCTCCATCTCCTTCAAATCGTACTCTTTTTAATTCTCTCTTTTTCGCTTTAAAACTACTGATCTTCATTATCTCTCTGCATTAAATAACCCAAGTTTCTCAAAAATTTCTCCCACAAAAGAACCGTAATTCTTCTCTGTAAAACTCCACAGAAGAACCCTAATTTCTCACTCAAACTTCTCCACCAAATGTAATATTTCCATTTTTCAAATGTTTTGTAATTTTACCATGAACTACAGCCTTCACCGGGAAAAACCAGCATCAACCTTCATTGCCCCTTTCCTCCTTGAATTTAGGGTTTGAGTTCTTTACCCAAGTCCATGACTTTTTTCATTTCTCCAGTTCAGAGAGAGTTTAAGCTCCTCAGAAAATGTTGTTATATGTTGGAATGAGGACTGGATTAGTGGGAGAGGGCCTCAGAGGAAGCAATAATAGATCTTACAGTGAAGACTTTGAAGAGTTTTACTGAGAGCAAAGGCATCAAGGATGTGATGATCTACTGAGAAAATTGAACCTTTACAGGGCTCGGAGTGCTTGTACTGTTGAAGGATCTTTAGTAGTTGTAGGAAGTCTCTTTGGCTCCAAACATGGCAGATCAGATCAAACAGAGAAAGGTTTGAGGTTTGATCTATGCAAAGCACTTCTCTCATGTCAAGCTGATCCCTATGTTTCCTCCTATCTCAAAAAAGAATTGAAAATCAGCTCAAAGTTTACAATCATGGCCATCAGGCTTTGGTGTGAAAGAATGTAGGGAGGGAAGAAGGGATAAGGAGTAGTCCATTTTCTTCGCAATCAGGGTTTCATTTTTGGTGCGGAGAAGAAGTTACTGTTTCACAGATGGGTTATTGACAATCATTAGCTCCGAAATTTTTTTGTGTTTTCAATTACGAATTCTGGTCAATTCACTGAAAAGCAACGGGATAGTTGTAGTTAGAGAGAGAGAGAGAGAGAGAGAGCATGGGTCGCCCTATCAAAAAGACTGTACAGAAAGGGATTAAGTTATATGAGTAAAGAAAAATACTTTTTTCAAATATATTTAAGTTACATGAAACCTAACAAAAAGTCCATCACAAATAAACATACGAGGGACATTACACAAACATCAAATAAAGCTTTTAATGGGTATTTTATAGCAACAGTGAATTATTAGTGAGAATGGGTGCATCCAAAGAGGCCCATAGAATGACTTTGAGGATTCTCTTGATAAACCACAAAACTCACTGGTTTACCAGAGTAGAGTCCACTCAGACAAGGCCCAAATTTACTCAACAATTTTTTTTTTAGTTAAACTAGTCAACTAAACGAGTTTTAGAACATTGGTCTTAAGATTTTTTTTTTTTGGCAAGTATAAGCCTAGAACTTTGTCACCTAATAAGTTTTGGAAAAGTTTTGTGTTGGCTGCCTACCTAACACAACCCAGCCCCTTTACCCGGGCATGCGACAAGTTAAGGGGAAGTTTAAGGTCCTCACCCATCTTAGATCAAGAAATTTGTCACCTGGAAGATATAATAATGATGGAAATGTTGTTTAGTACAATACTTAATACTTATGCTGGGAATTGTAAGTATTCCAATACATACACTCATTTAACAATTCAGTTATGTACGTGACAGTGAGTCTGAAATTCCTAATTTATGGGTTCTGTAGCTTTATGATGATCTTTTTAATTCTAGATTGAAAATTGGATGTATTGCAATTTGAGAAATTCTTTGGGGAGTTTTTGAGATAGAATGGGTAATTCATATTGTCTTCAGTTTCTACAAAAAGCAATGGTATTTAAACCATTTTGACAGCAACTAGAATTTCAAGACCTGTGCTTGTCGTAAACAAATGTCAAAGATTATTTTAAATAGCTTTTGAGAAATCAGGAACAATGTTGAGTCCCTAATAATAAAAAAAAGAAAGGAACAATGTTGAGTCCCACAATGGTAAGAGAGGGTTCCTGCATACAGGTTGAATTCTTTGTAGCTATGCTTTCCCAGGCCATTCTTGCCGGAAAGAGAAGTTCTTGCAGCAATTCCACTCTCGCTCACTCTCTCTCTATAATTTGTACTTGAATTTTTTCTGATGGCGATTCAACTTCTTCGCAAGTCTTGCTAACGTCTGCTCTATGCATGCATTTTTCTTTTCCTTATGACCTATTTTTAGTCTATTGAAATAACATCATTTTTGCTGTTATTGTTTTTAAGAATAGTTTTTGAGTAACTTGGGATGGAAAATTGTTGGATAGCCCAGATAAAGTCTATCACGTGAGTGTGATGCCCTGTTATGATAAAAAGCTGGAGGCTTTCAGGGATGATTTTGTATTTTCTATGGGGCGCCAAGGAGAAACTGGTCACGAAGCTGCAGGCCCAAGAATTGCTGAGGTTGATTCTGTTTTGACAACTGGTGAAGTTTTGGACTTGATAAAGGTAATGATACCTCCATATTTACTTATCCTAAAAAGGTTCTAATTTTTTTTTTGTAAGAATCCTTGGTAATCAAATCATTGACAAATATTATCCAAAAAGAACACATGGTTGACATATATTCTTGTTTTTGGGATTGTTGCAGTTAAAATCTTGCGATTTCAGATCCTTAGAGGAAGCTCCCCTAGATAGATTGTAAGAGTTTATTTTTCTCTTTTGCAAAGTCTCTTCATGGCCATTGACACAGGCACACGCACCCACATTCATAAATACATGGATATAGACATACACATACATAAAGGCCATAACACTAGGGTTGTGGCTCAGTTCCCTGCTTACATCCAACTGACAAAAAGAAGAAAGTATAAGAAAAAATAGCATTTCATCTTTGCAATTCTTAAGATGCTTTTACACATCATACACAGGCTCACAAATGTTGATGAGGAGGGCCATCTTTATGGGGTTCAAGGGGGTTCTGGAGGTTATGCAGAGACAATATTTCGCTATGCTGCCGAACGGTTATTCGGCAAGGACATGCAAGGACCTGTTAACTTCAAAATATTACGAAATTCAGATTTTCGAGAAGCAACATTAGAGGCAAGTTTCTAGGATTGATTTCTTTGGGGTTTTACACACACAAATGAACTTACCAAGAGTGAGTAGATCAACACTTTTTTAAGGAAGTTTCAGGAAATGGTTTCATACTCGAGATTTTGTGGTTTACCATAGTTACAGGGATAGGCGATCACTTTTAGGATCCCGATTATTATGCTTCCGAAACAGATCTTTCAGGAGTCTATTTTTAAATTTTGAGATCTTGATCCCCATTGTTAGGAATCCTGCTGCTTCTTGTTGGGGATCTCGATCCTAATCTTAAGGACCAAGACAACAATCAAAATAATGGTTTTATTTATTTACAGCCAGCTAGCAATACAACTATACTTTTCATATAGTTGCATTGCTTGTTTGCTATAAATAAGGGGAAAAGGTTTCTATACTGCCCCTACAGCATAAAATTTATATGCTCTCTCCCTATCCAGCCGTTCAATTTAGATCAAGTGTGCCACTGACCATTTGATATAGATCTGACACCTCAGAGTATTTTATTTTTAGTTTTTTAATGCAAATTATATGAACATGAAATTTGGTATGTTCCATCATCTCATTGGGGCGCATCAAAAAAAATTAAAAAGAATTTTTTGATAAAATATAATGACTATAATACCCCTTGAAACTCTTGGGGGTATTTTGATCATTTTATTTTATTGAGACTATTTTTTATATATTTTTTACAGGTGCTACTTTAAGAGAGGAGTGGATGCCTCAAATTTGGTGTCAAAATAGTTTGTAAAAAAATAATTAAAAAATAAAATAGTGTAGAGACGTGATATTGTGATTGGGGCCATCTTAGCCATCCATTCAGGATGGACAGTTGGATAGGGGGAAGCATATAAGTTTTATTTTGTAAGGGAAGCATAGAAAGCTTTCCCTAAATAAAGAGATCCCTACTTTAAAAAGTTTATATAATCCTAAATTATTATAGACTTTATGGTTGGAATCTTGATCCCTAACATTTGTGGAGGGATGTCAAACCCTAACATGTGCATTGGATGGACGGCGCTCCTAGCCATAGGGATTTTCTAGCATTTCACGATCCTCCACTCCCGATCTTGATCCTGATACCGTTCCCGCTCCCGATCTCAACAACTATGGGTTTTACATAACCATGCCTTGTGATATTCTCACTGCAGGTCAATGGCAAAATTGTTCTTAAATTTGCTCTCTGTTATGGCTTCCGCAACCTGCAGAACATTGTGAGGAAAATAAAGACTGGGAAATCTGATTACCACTATGTAGAAGTCATGGCATGTCCTTCAGGTGTCGCCCCTTCTAATATTTTTCTGTTGTAATTTCTGTTTAAATAAAAAAACCAGTTAAAACAAACTTTTATAAGTGAATGCTTCAAGGTATTCATCTGACAAGTTGTATTCTGTCATTAATTATGCAGGTTGTCTCAACGGAGGTGGTCAAATAAAACCAAAGCTGGGCCAATCAGCCAAGGATACCATTCAATTATTGGAAAACTTGTATTTGCAAGATGTTAGTTTTCATTTGTCACTAACCTAAAGAAAAAGGAGTCTTAATTTCCTCTCATACCTAAATGCGCTTTTTATCGTTTTTATAGCTTGTGTTTGGTCAGGAAAGTTTTTTAGGCTGAGCAGGGTAGGTAAAGTTCTTTTCTGATAACTGGGTAAAGTGGCAGTGGACGGTTAATAGCTTTATGATAGGAAACAAGCTCAAGTTCTTTTCGGTTATTTTACAGGTTAGGGTGGCTGATCCTTTTGAGAATCCACTGGTGAAGGGCTTATATGATGAATGGCTAGGCCTACCTGGTTCGGAGAAAGCTAAGAAATATGTACGCACAGCATACCATCCAACAGTCAGCAGTATGGCTTCTCAACTGAGCAATTGGTGATACATAATTGCCTTTACTTGATTCATTACGTAATATGTTTCCAAGGGTTATCTCTGTACATGGCGAATGCAGCCGAACCAGGAGTTGGCTTTGCATAACGTGCACGTAGCATGTGCTCTTGGGCCTTCTTTTCTTTCTCTGCATAGTGCGCACAGCTGAACCCCATGTCAGTTCTTGGGGCTCTCTTTTTCTATACGCTTGTATCGGTTGGTCTTTTTATCTATGAAATTGTATCAGTGGCATATTTATTGAAATCGGCGGTTCGGATCGGGAATCGATCGGATTCAGCAATAAAAATAAATAAAAAATAAAAAAATTATTAAAAATCATTATAAATGTTGTTTTTTAGAATCCAAAAAAAAATAGGGGTACTACATTATTAATTTTCATTTTTTTCATCAATATGTGAATATTGAGATATTCTTTCTCTGTATGAATGTATGTTAAACTCTAAATTTATATCATACACAAAAATAATCATAGAATTATCATGGATGAAGTATCTTCATTTAATTTAAAATGTTATTGACAATTGTAAGAAGAAATAGTACATTACATCAAGGTTAAAAAAAACGGATCGGTGATTTTTTAAACATTGATCGAACTCAAAAAATAAGATATTATTTAAAAATAAGAACAAATCTACAATGTCTTATAATATCATCGAATTCAAAAAAATTATTTACAACAATAAGAAAAAATAATACATTATAAAATTTATAATACAAATAAATTAATAAAAAAAATACAAGATTTGATTATCAATCTATAATTATTAATTATAACATTATAATAAAAATAAAACCCCCTATAAATTGTAATAATATGAAATTAAAATATTACAAAAAAAATTTATTCTAAAATTTGGAAAATAAAGATACCAAACTTCAAAAAAAAAAAAAAAATATCTTCGCCACACGCATAGTAGCTACCAAAAAAAAAAATGGTAACAAAACTTTGAGTAAGCTTTAAACCACTTTCAAACATTCAATATGAATATAAATGATATATTGTATTTTTTTTAGGCAGTGATGATTAAGTTTCAAAATTTTAAATTCGACTTTGTATATATGGTTTTTCAAAATTTAGCATTAAAAATATGTAAATGATAGAATGTTGTCACATTTTATGTAACAATAATGATTTATTAAATAACACAATAATTTAATATATTAAATTATATAGTATTTTAATGTATTTATAACAATAAAAATTACAATAAAGCAATAAAAATATTAACATAATTATCATAAAGAATTATAGTTAGTTAACAATTTTTACATAATTATACTCATTCAACATAATAATATTAATGTTATTTAATATGTTCATATTCACATAATTATAGCAACATAAGTTTAACATAATTATATTGAGTTATTAGCATAAATAACAAAAATTTCATATAATTATATTAATTCTTGTAAATTTATTATGTGTAATTTATTTTTTGTATTTGTGTAATTCAACTTAGTTATGTATACTATATTCTTGTAAATTATAAAAAGAAAAATGAATATAATTATTTAGAAAAGAAAAATAAATTTTTTATTTTGTAGACCATTTATTTTAGGGACAAGTTTATATAGAGTCTAAGCTCTAGATAAACAAATTAGAGCCTACCTCAAAAATTCACTACAAACGGTTGTTTTGATGCCCAAATATCCTCAAATTGATCATCTCGATGTCAAGATGCAGGGACATGAGAAAAAAAAAAAAGGATTTCAAGCTTTGGAAATAGTAGATTTTGCAATGCATTTTTGGACCGTCAATTTTCAATATTTTCAAGTTTTCATAAATCTCTCAATCTACTCTATTTTTGAAGCTTTAAATTTTATAAATAAAGATGAAAATATTTTTTAAGGCTATCAAAAAGATTTCCAGTATTGAAACCATATTTCTAGTTACTATTTAAAGGCATGCTCTAATTTAATTGTTTAGAGCCTAGGCTCTATATAAATTGCACCTTTTAAGCTCTATATAAATCGCACCTATTATTTTATAGATGATAGTTTCTTTATATAAGAGAGAGCTATTAATGACAATGTCTCATTCAATTGTAGACTTTATTGCCAAGGCAAAAGAAATATCCCACATCGATAGATGGTGGGAAGAATATGCTTATATAATTTAGAAATATACATCATTTGGTTGTCAAAGTGAAATGTGGGACCAAAGTGACATGTGGGACGTTGACCTTGTGCATTGTACGTAACAGATCCGGAACGGTGTCATCGATACCTGATCTGGATCGCCCGATTTCGGATCCGATTGACGATTTTTTAAACACTGCCTGCTTTATGACGTCAGGGCGATTTGTTGACAAAAACGATCGGATCCTGTTTTATTAGTGGATCCGAAATGGTGTCACCAATATCCGATTCCGGATCAGATCGACAAGTTTTTAAACTCTGGTTATAATAATACGATAGTGTTTGAATTTTAATCATTTTTCTACAAATCATATTCATCAAAAATTTGGAGCGTGTAAATTTGACCAGCTCACACCTAAATAAAATCTTAGAAGAATAAAAGTACGCCTAAAATATTTGTAGAAGTAATGTGGCCATTTAATTTTTTGGATAATTTTTTTACCTTTTATTTAGGTATGCCTCACACATAATCATTAAAAGTTCATGTTAATTTGATTCATAGAAAGATTATTAAAATTCAAACACTATTAGATAACCGTGACCGCATAATAAACTTTTGATGGTGACGAGCCATGAGCAAAATAATGTAGAAATTTATTTCTTAGTGTTTTTAAGTGATATATATATATATATATATATCATCGTCATCATCATCATCATAGACTTTTCTCAATTAATAAGGGTCGGTTATACGAATTCTGATGCATCATTCTACTCTATTAATGGTTCATACCCTCAATGAGGCCATGAGTCCCTATATATTTTCTCAGTACTTCCAACCATATCCTTTTGGGTCTATCTCTTGCCATTTTTTAGCCTTCCACTTGAACTAACTCATACCTCCTAACAGGTGTTGCACTGGGCTTCTATCACACATGGCCATCCAACATTTGTCTACTCTCTCTTATCTTATCGTCTATTGGTCGTCATCATCATTATTTTAGCCTTTTGTCAATTAATTGGGGTCGGTTACATGAATCATGGTGTTCCATTCTGCTCTATTAAAGGTCATATCTTCAGTTAAACCATAAATCCCCATATCTTTTCGGACTATTTACAACCACATCCTTTTGAGCTTATCCCTTGCCTTTTCAGTCATTCCACTTGAACTAACTCGTACCTTCTAACAGGTGTTGTACTTGGTCGATATCACATATGGTCAGCCCACCTACGTCTATTCTATCTCATCTTATCGTCTATTGGTGCCACACCCAAATTCTCTCGAATAGATTCATTTTAAATTCTATCCGTTATTGTCTTGCTACTCATTCATCTTAACATCCTCATCTTTATTACACTCATTCTATGGGTATATCGTTTTTTTGTCCACCCAATATTCTGTCCCATAGAGCAAAGCTAGTCTCACTACTGTCTTATAGAACTTGCCCTTCAGCCTCATTGGTATGCATCAATCACATAAAATTTCAGTTGCACATCTTCACTTTTCCCACCTAGCTCTAATTCTGTATATGACATCTTCCTCGATCTCTCCATTTTCCTAGATTAACGACTTAAGTTATTGAAAGTGCGGTCTCTTTTGTACTTTCTAACCGTCAATCTTAACTACTTCATCATCTCTACTCCTATTATTACTAAACTTGCACTCTATATACTCTGTCTTAGTCTTACTAATTTTAAAACATTTGGATTCTAAAACATCCCTCCAAAGTTTTAACTTTGTGTTGATGTTGTTTCGGGTCTCATCAATCAAAACTATGTCATCTGCGAACAACACGCACTACAATACCTCATCTTGTAGATGCCTAGTTAAGTTGTCCACAACTAAGACAAAGAGTATGGGCTCAATACAGACCCTTGATGTAGGCATATTGTCACTGAAAACTCATTTGCCTTCCCATTGTTCGTATTCTAGTTACTGCTCTATCGTACATACTTCTCACCAAGTTGATGTAGTGTCTAGAGATGCCTTTCTTTTCTAATACCTTCTAAATCAAATCTCGAAGTACTCTATCATAAGTTTTCTCTAGATCAATAAATATCATGTGGATGTTTCCTGCGCCTTAAACTTCTCAATTAGTTGCCTAAGTAGAAAAATAGCCTAAATTGTTGACCTTCTTGATATAAAACCAAATTGATTTTCAAATACATTTGTTTCATGCCTTAGTCGTTGTTCAATGACTCTCTCCTAGAGCTTCATAGTATGGCTCATAAGTTCCTTGATAGTTTGTACAATTTTTGTATGTCTCATTTGTTCTTGTAAATAAGTACTACAATACTTTTCCTCCATTCGCCTATTGGTGCTACACCTAAATTTTTTCGAAGGGATTCACTTCGAATACTAATATTTCTTATCTTGCCACCTATCCATCTCAACATCTTCATCTCCATTATACTCATTCTATTGGTATTTTGTTTTCTAACTGCTCGACATTCTGCTCCATAGAGAAAAGCTGGTCTCACAGTTGTTTTATAAAACTTGCCCTTCAGCTTCATTGGTATACGGAGATCACATAAAATTCTAATTGCACATCTCCACTGTACATAAAATGTGTGCGACATCTTCCTCAATCTCTCTATTTTCCTGGATTATTGACTAAAGATATCGAAAGTGCAGTCTTTTTGGTATTTTATGGTCGTCAATCTTAACTACTTCCTCACCTCTACTCCTATTATTACTAAACTTGCATTCCATATACTATGTCTTAGTCCGGCTAATTTTAAAACCTTTATATTCAAGCATTCTTTGAAAGTTCTAACTTTGTGTTGATGTTGTTTCGGGTCTCATCGATCAAAACTATGTCATCTGTAAACAACATGTATTACGGTACTTCATCTTGTAGGTGTCTAGTTAAATCGTTTATAAATAAGACAAAGAGGTATGAGCTCGATACTGATTCCTGAAGTAGACCTATTGTCACTAAAAACTCTCTCATCTCTCTATTAGTTGTTCATATAGTAGTTAGCAATCAATCATACATATCTCTCACCAAGTCGATGTAGTGTTTGGAGACTCATTTCTTTTCAAACACGTACCAAATCAAAGCTCGAAATACCCTATCATAAGTTTTTTTTAGATTAAGAAAACCATGTTGAGGTCTTTTCCCTTCGCCCTAATCTTCTCAATCAGTTGTCTAAGAAAGAAAATTGCCTCGGTTGTTGACTACCTTGACAAAAAACCAAATTGATTTTCAGATACACTTGTCATGCCTTGGTCGTTGATCAATTACTCTTTGCCAGAGCTTCATAAATGGCTTATAAGCTTAATCCCTCAATAGTTAGCATAATTTTGCATATCTCCATTGTTCTTATAAATAGGTACCACAATACTTTTCCTCCATTTGTTTGGCAATTTCTTTGTTCTCAATACCTTGTTGAACAACTTTGTCAGATAGTGTCATTTTCTCCCAAGCACTTCTAAACCTCTATCGGGATATCACCTCGTCCTAAAGCCTTTCCTATGTTCATTAATTTCAAAGCTTCTTTCACTTCCGATATTAACCTACAAATGTATTTATGACCTCTGCCCTCATTTATACGAACGGTTCGTTCTACCACTATGTTCTCATTGTGTTCATCATTTAATACTTTTTGAAAATAAACTCTCCACCTTTCATTAACTTCTTCAACCTTCACTAAGACATTGTGATCCTCACTCTTAATGAATTTAATTCTGGATTCATGCTAAGTTTTAACAAAACTTTATGTTGGCTGCCTACCAAACACAACCCAACTTTTTTACCTTGGCAGGGGATAGGTTAAAAGAAAGTTTAAGGTCTTCAC